TCACTACCAAGGGCTACATCACTACCAAGGGCTACATCACTAGCAGATACAGGGAACACAGGATATAAACTGGACATATGTGACTAAATACTCAGCTAAAGTACAGACAGGGTAAGGACCTCACCAAAGGGCAGAAACACAAGGAACATAATACACACATAAAATTTACATAAAGGGTCCTGGGGCATAAACAACCCAAAAAGGGGGAGGCTGGTCAGCCTCAGACTCACAACAGCATGGGATGTATGATTTTTAGCTGGACTCTTACACAAGCTGTAAATGTAAGAAAACACAAGGGTTAGAACGGAATGTCCAGCGACACCCACTGGCCAAACAGGGAAACGGAGGACAGAAGGGGACAAGATGGGGACCCCCATTGACAATGCCCCTTACATAATATCCTGTGCTGTATTTATGACCAAGAAATTACACGATTGTAATAAGTTTTATTTTGAATGATGCATTTGAAAATGTTATTATACAGTATATGTACCGCAAATGATGGAATAGTGCAGCAATTATGAAGATTTTAATGAAGGTTCTTTTCATTTAGTCCTGCTAGCCTTGAATTCGCTTCATAAAATTTTAACTGGATTACTCAAAACAGCATAATGAATCTCACACCTTATGGCGAGGCAATTAATGAAAATACAACATAATTTACTTTTCTGGCTTATTTTAATGAGGAATGTAGCAAAACTGTGTGCTGGTGCTAGGCAGGTCTGTGGAGTAGGAGGCAGAACAGAGCAAGCTAAAGCTGCTTATGCTAGATTTTTAGGTTTTCCTTAGTCTTTGGCAACTGGCCTAATGAACAGCCTTGTGGTAGGGCAGATAACAATGGATCTGGATGGATCTGTTATCATGAGCTCAGTCAAAGACTTTTTGGGAAATATCCTATGTATTATTTTATGTTTTGAGAATTATCAGCTAAAAGGAAAACTTGCTGATCATTCTACAGTATGTACCATGCAATAATTATACACGTTGTGAAATTTCTGAAACTAATTTCAGTGAGGTACGGGCACATTACTATTCAAGTCTACTTTAAGTAGATTTTATTTTTAGTGTCTGCCTGTCTTTTCTTTTTGTGCTGGAAATTCCAGGACAAGGCCTGCCTGCTGGTTCATCTTCAATGCCATTTGGTCACCTTTTCCGCATCTAAGCTAATTTAGTTTCTGTTAAAGGTCATCGTTACTCTATCTGGAGGATCACAGGCAAGAGGAGAAGGGGTACAGGGTATCTGTTAGTTGTTCTCCATGGGCAGTTTTGCACTTCAATCCTTCATACTTGATACTTGAATCAAACACATTAATATCTGAGACTTTCTTAAGGAGTCTCTTTGCCCGCACTGTCAAATGCTTTTTCAAAATGAATGAAACTGATGTACAGCAAGGCATTCCATTCCATTGAATGCTCAACTATAATGTGTAGGATCTGTCTCTTTGAAAGCCAGCTTGCCGGTAACATATCTGATAGTCACCTGGGTCTTTCTTTCAGTTAAAGGTCATCCTGTTTACCACCTTCTTGATATGTATAGATGCTGGAAGTTGACAGCCTAGAACAGAGCATTGCCTCATAATAGACCCTGTTAGAATATTGTTCCCTTGTTCCCTCCCTCGGGGAGCACTTGTCCAAACCCTTGTCTCCTGAGACCCCCCATATGCTCATGTTCTTCTTTTCGGTTAGGAAGAATGCTATGATAATGAAAAGATACTTTATTTCCCGTTTACATATGTATGAGTACCTGTACTCTGGAATGCTTACATACTCTGGGATTCAAACCAGTGAACTACTGATCACAGGTATAACCTGATGAGCCGTAAACCACCCTCCAAAAATCTGTGCCAGAGACTGGAGTCAAACCCACGCCTTCAACTGGAGAGCCAAAGCCCCACATTATGGATTTGGATGATATCAACACTAGTCCTTCGATATTTGGAGTATTGTCCTCCTCATGTGCAGAGTATAGCAGTATCTTTCCTGTGGTCTCCTCAGAGACTCAAGACTGCACATTTCTGGTCTGACTAATTCCAGGTAAAGTAAATCTATAGCTGCTACTTGTAAGGTCTTCCCGGTTTCAGACATTGTCCTTACATTCCATGTCCCAGTGTTGATTTTCTTGGATGGTACTGTAGAAGGGTAGTTGGCCACATAGCTTCTCAGGACCTTTGGCTTTCACCACATGATTTCATCAATATTTATGCAGAAGATCCATCTCTTCCCAGCACTGAGGTGCCCGTATGTGTTTTATGGGTATAAGGTGGGTAGCTTACGAAAAGCCCTCCCCCTTTCTCATCTGAGTCTGGTACTGACTATGGCAGAGTTGTGTTAGCGCGTACTGTATAAAAATCATGGAAAATTGTTTAACATATCTATTCTGCTAATTCTTTAGGCACGGTATCAGGGATTTACATGGGGGGGGGGGTTGGTATGTCCAGCAAATGAGGCAGAAGTTCAAAAATCGCCAGAGGCAGTGGGCCTGTCAGAAGGTAAGGAGATCAGTCACATGAAAGGCTATGCAAGGCACCCAGGTATGACGTCATACGCCGAATATAGAACTGGAACGAAAGGCATGAGAGCTTGGCGAAAATGCAAGACAAGCTGGCAAGGATTCACAGGCAACTGTGGTCTTAAATCAGTAGTGGTCAAAGTCCATGTGGAGGCCCACTCCCTCCTTACCCTACTGCAAACATCTCCATGGCGATGGTCAAAGTTGTTGCCGACGGCAGCACTGGGAGGCAGGGTTGGCACCAGTAAAAATTGTTGACCCAAGGGGGTGATTCGAAAATGGCAGTATGAATGACAATATTTGGCTCCAATAAATATGACCTCATTACTGGGTTGGCACCTTCTTCCAAGTGAAGTCATTGGGATTGTCGTCAGAGGTTATGTACAAGGTAGTATGATCTTGCACTTCAACAACTTTGGTACTCATCAAAACTCTATTTAACAATCACATTTGAAACAACCTTGATTCAGTATGTTTGTGTTTTAAAAATATCTAGATTATTTACTTCTATTGCACATTTAAAAACTAAAATGCATCAACAAATAAATTATTTAGAATTGCCGAATCACCTAGGGTTGATTCACATCTAGTAACAAAACCAGTTTTAATAAGAGCAAAACCAAAGGCGTGAACATGGACAACCTGATTATTTGGAATTGCTCTGTATTTATGTCGTCCTATTCAAATGTGATGACATGCCTCTTTAACGTTACCCTTCCGTGCCAGACTCTAGTTGTCACTTGTTTTTCCAACTTCGGTTAATCACATTAACACAAGCTAACAATTTTTCATAGGTACGTTTCATTGACCATGTATTACATTTTATGAATAATACATCATTGTCCATTGTCTTTAAATGGAAGATTGGTTATTGTTAGCAGCACAAACCCTAAAACAAGAGGAATGAAACACACATGATTAAGGTCTGGCTACTTCATTAGGTGTCACATTTGTCACCAGTACCATTTCAAGGGTTGATGCCCTGTGATTTCAATGTTGCCTTCCTGGACACTTCTGTTGTACTAGGCTGTTATTTTTGCACTTCTGGCCTTCCTGTCAGCTTTATCAAGGCATCCTCCTCTGATCTATCTAATTAACAAAGTGTTTTCAGCCACAAAACTGCCCCTGATTGGTTGTTTTTTGGTTTATTGCTTTATTTTCCGTAATTTCTACAAATTGTGATGCATGTGAATTCCAGGAGGGTGGATGTTTCTAGAACCACCATG